GTAGGGAGCAAAGCAAAGGGGCCGATCAAGGCCTGCAAAGTATGGCCCCCCTACGGGCCAACGATTACGTTGACGAGCACCCCAGACTGCTACAATGGAGGTGCGACTAGCCAGCCGATCCGATAGACGAACCGATCGTTGATCAACTTGACTACTCCCTTCTAGCCGAGTCTGCTACTCGACTAGGGGAGTGGGGGACTCGTGTTGGGATAATGGGCCAGGTCCAATACTATCGACCCAATATGCCTGGGCTCGGGCGCGAACCAGGCCCAGCACACGGTCCGACTAGATAATATGGTCCTTGGATTGATTAGTTTAACTCTGGGCCCGACCAGCCCATTGGCCTGGGATCAGGCTTCTTGTTTTAGTTGTTTAATTGGGCCAAGCCCATTAGTATTCAAGAAACCTCTTGTAAGCGCCTATAAATAGGCCGCCCCTCTTTTTGTATTGGATAAGTCACTTTTACTGTACTGAATTGCTGCCGAATTTTCTACTCAACACATTTTCTACCAACACCGCGTGACCATAATCTTCCTGATTCATATTACAAAATGAAACAATTAATGTCTCAGTTGGGGCTTCCTTGTATAGAAATTGATGCGTGCCCAGAAGGATGTATGTTGTTCTGGAAGGATGATGTGGCACTTGAGAGCTGCAAGTTCTGTGGTGGAGAGAGATACAAGTCTGTTCCTCATAGACGAAAAAAACCACGAAAAAGGTTTGCATTGTCTAAATTGTTTTACCTCCCTCTAGCTCCACGCCTGAAGAGGATGTATGCTCCAAATGCTATTGCGAAACACATGACGTGGCATGTTGAGCATGAAACCAAAGAGGGTTTGATGTCTCACCCTTCCGACTGTGAAGCTTGGAGACACTTTGATCGTTGTCATCCTCATTTTGCAATGGAGCCACGGAATGTGCGACTGGGATTGTGTTTAGACGGATTTGCTGCTTTTGGAAAGTTTGGGAGAAATTTTCATGTTGGCCAGTCATGCTAACTCCTTATAATCTTCCTCCCGACATGTGCATGAAAAGTCATTTCATCTTTTTAACTTTAATTTGTCCAGGTCCCTCGGGTCCTAAAAAAGGATAGACATCTATCTTCAACCCCTGATCGAGGAGATGAAAAGACTTTGGGCCATTAGGACACCAACTTATGATGTTTCAAGAGATGAAATGTTTATCATGAAAGTTGTCATCATTTGGACCATTAACGACTTCCCTGCTTATGGTATGCTTTCAGGATGGAGCACACACGGTCTTATGGGATATCCGATATGTATGGAGAAATCAGATGCCAATTGGCTCAAATTTAGCGGGAAACCAAGTTACTTTGATTGTCACCGCAAGTTTCTGCCTATGAACCATCGATATCGAAAGGACAAGAAGTCTTTTATTGCCGGAAGAGTGGTACAAGATCCCCCTCCTCCAAGACTTACAGGTGAACAAGTTTTTAATCGGGTTCAACGTTTTCCTACGGTTGTGCAGCAACCCTACGGGGAGCCAAATGGGTATTGTGATACCCATAAGTGGACAAAGAGGAGTATATTTTGGGAGTTGCCATATTGGAAAGATCTTCTCATTCGTAACAATTTAGATGTCATGCACATTGAGAAGAACGTCTTTGACAATATATTTAACACGGTTATGGATTTTACCCACAAAACCAAAGACCGTCTTGCATCTAGAAAAGACATGACAATTTGGTGCGACAAACCCGAACTCGTCGTCGATCTAGAATATGTGGGTAAAAAAATTCCAAGAGCAGTCTACCAACTCACAGCCCCACAAAGGGAATCAATATTAGAGTGGCTTGTTTCTCTAAACTTTCCAGATGGCTATTGCTCTAACCTGTCAAGATGCGTGGACCTGGACAAACAAACAATGACGTCGAACATGAAAACTCATGATGCTCATGTAATCATGCAACGACTTCTGCCGATTGCACTGAAAGAGATGCTTCCTGCAGTGAAATTAACGACCCTTTGTTAGTATCATTATCGTGGGGCCCTTCTTCCTATGCAAAGGTTTGGCATTCATATGTGATAAACGGTTATACGTATCACACAGTCGAATATGGAGAAGGTCGACCAACAATGAACAGCGGGTTATGTGTCCCGACCATCGGTTCTGATAACTCGGAAACCAATTTTTTTGGTTTCTTGCATGAGATTCTCGAACTTCAAATGCCTTCTGGTTTGCAAGAATTAACATGCATGTTGTTTCGCTGCACATGGGTCGACCCTACACGTGGTGTGATAAAAAATTCAAAGTATAATATAATTGACGTCAATCACTCTCTTGTGTATCAGAAAAATGAGCCTTTTATACTCGCTCAACAAGCAGCCCAGGTTTATTATGCAGAGTATCCTTCAACGAGGCGCACACGGAATCCTTGGGTGTGTGCCTTTAATATCCGTCCGAACAAAATTGTAACACAGGCTCAACACAAGGATATTGACTTTGATGCTTTTCAGCAATATTGACGGTGGCCGTGACAAATCCGTGACAAACTCTCACACGGATTACTGTCCGTGACAAAAACGTTATCACGTCTCTGGTGTCACGGATTTGGTCCGTGACAAAATCTGTGACAAAAATCATTTGTCACGGATTTTTTGAACTAGGGTCCGTGACAAAATCCGTGACAAAGCCGGTATTTTTTTGTAGTGATTTAATTCTTTACAAAAAGTAGTACGTTTTTCATTCATAAACATTCAAATTAACATATGTACTTATATTGCATTGTATGTAAATGCATGTTTATTTTGTACGAGTTTAAAATTTCATGTTATTATTTTAAAAATACTATTAATTTAAAACTTTTTTTAATATTCGACATTAAGATATCATGCAGTATATAACTCTCTTATGCTAAAGCACCTAAAAGCTTTTAATTTCTCTCGATCCCAAGTACTCAATATAATACACAACTATAAACAAAAGTAAATCTAAATAATAAATGAATCTAAAAAGTTATTATTAATTACATTAATGCCATGAAATAAATTAATATAATATGCTAAAAATATTTAAAATTAATGAAATATTTTGATATAAATTTAATTATAATAAAGCACCGTTTTCTCGCTCTATATATGAAAAATTAGTTCTTGGTTTTTTCAGAACATGTTACTACGTAATATTCTTCGCCAAATGTAAAATTAGATTTTTGAAATGATCAAAATGCTTTTTCTCAAATTTAAAAAAACGAATAGATTTATGATCGATATCCGCAAAACAATACGGAGTATATATAATTTGATCAAACGTTGCCATCAATAATGAAGAATAAAGTTAATTATTGATTTTCCTGTCGATCACTAGCTGCTATGTTATCGTGTTTTTCATTGTTTTATGGAATTAATTAATTTTATGTTATTTTTTATTGAAAAGGAGGGCATCGGGGTTCGAAATGATCGATGTTTTCAAGTAATTACATTCAAGTTAAAAGTTGACACAAATCACAAATGATGAGATGGTGCTTAAAATTGATTTTATTTGTTTGACAACATTTTACTCAAATATCTTGATCAAACATTTCAACTTCTACTTTTGTATTGAAATCATTTCTATTTATTATAAACATTAATTAGTATCTTTTACCACTAATAAAGACTTCTCATATATAAAATTAACAAATACTAAAATAAGCCATTTTTAAAAATTACTAGTAACATCACATCATTTTTGAGAATATTACCCGAAATATGACTAAAATAGTTCGAAAATTCCAAAATAAGACTGTCATGTTTTGGCAGTACCAGACTTCAAACATGGCAGTATTTTCTAAACATGGCAGTAATTAGTCCTATTTTGGGAATAAAAAACATGACAGTCCTATTTTGAAATTTTCAAACTGTTTTAATCCTATTTCGGGAACTTTTCCCGTCATTTTATTAATTGTTTTTCCCCATTTATTAACTGTCATCTTTAGAAAGAATTTCAATTGCTGATAAATTAGTTTCATTTCATCATAAAATTAATTTATTGAAACACATAGTATAGGCCGGGTGAATTGGTGGCCGAGTGAACGTGAACTCTGAACCCAATGCAAAAGTGTGCCTACATTCACTTTCTTGGTCATGGCGTATTAACTTTTTAATAAAAAAGGAACCTAATTATGTTAAAAGTATTTATCTCACACGATAAAGCTAGAAAATAATAAAAGAGTATATATGACTTTGAGTTACTTCTCCTATCGGGTTGATTTTGGCCCATGTATAAACACCCGATATTGTCCAGCCCGTTCGGGTTGAATGACGTGTTAAAGTGTTTGTCCCACACTGGAAACTATAAGACTTTGGATTACTTATCTTATCAGTTTGAACTTTTAGGATGAAATCACAAGTCTTAACAATATTACATTCCTCTCTCACTAATATTGTCTCATCTTTCCTTTTCGTTTCGTACCGTTATAGTTATCTCATATCAAATTTGATAAATTTTATCTGACTCGAAATCATTCTCACTTTTCGATGAGAATGTTATAGTAATAGTATAACATAAATACGTACATACATTATACATTATGTCATTATACATACATAAATACGTACATACATTATAATAGTACCGTTATAGCATTTCGTTATAATGTTATAAATGGGAAGGAAGTAATAGTATTTTCCTACTAGCCATCATTCACGTAAGTATTACTCCTTTCGTCCCCCTGTTATTGTTCCATTGCGTTTTACGATGCTTGACCGACGATAAAGCAAACAGATCCCTGTCCGCACTCAAATTATTTTTAGAAAAAGAAAATTACATATTCAGAAACTATATTAAAAGATTTACAAAGTCGCAAAAACCAGAATCAAATTTGATAAAAATTTGATACATAAAGTAAGAGATTAAGAGTGATTTGTGTTGACCAAGTGAATAGGAAATGGGACAATAACAGGGGGACGGAGGGAGTACATAAATACGTACATACATTATACATTGCTGATAGCTAGCTATATATAAGCCTATATGACTATATGTATCCCCAAATACGTCTTGCCTATATATCGATCTTTAAATCTTTAATCCTTTAATTCTGCATTTAACCATAACTCGTTTTCTTTATCGAGGATGTTGGGAAAAAAAGAGAATGGTTTCAGCACATTAAATGAAGAAATAATTGAGGAATTTGAGTCGTTGACAAAGGATGCCGGGAAAGTACAAGAGGAGATTCTAAAGAGGATCCTTCAAGAGAACAAAGAGACTGATTATCTGCGACAGAAATGCGGTCTTAACGGAAGAACAGACCTCGAGAGCTTCAAGGCGTGTGTCCCTCTTGTCGTCCACAAAGATTTGGAGCCTTACATTCAGCGGATTGCTGATCATGGTTCCTCTCATATCCTCACCGCCAAACCCGTTATTGCCTTGTCTTTGAGGCATGTATCGTCTTTATATCCACCCTTCAGAGTCGTTCTAAATTATTTTTACTTTATATTTTGATGTTATAAATCAAATTTTAACAATATAAATTCATTTTTCTTAATATAATCTTTATGAGATGAATACAGTAGTTCTAACGAAATTATAATTAATAACGAGTAAATTAAAGTGCAGGTCATACACACAAAAAGCCTTTTTTTTGTAATAAAATTCTGTTATATATGGATCAACATGAGCTTTAATTTTGTGACTTATTAGTTTCTCCTAAGATGAATAACTAATGAATTAATTTCATTCCTTTTTTATGAATGTATGGGTTCATCCCTAAATAATCTATCTTATTCTAGTATTTAAGTTTATTACTAGAATGGACACATACATTTCTTCAAATAAGACCATCATTATTTGGTTTTATCAAAATATGCATGACTCAATTCACTTTTAATTGAAGGAATAGTTTATCTGTTATTCTTTTGTTAAGACTACAAACAAGTCAACATTTGATAAAACATAATTAGTCAATTATATATTTCATCTGCTCTTTCTTAATTGCAACAATCCACTTTTCAACATTTGACCATTAATATCTTTCATTCCTTATTTGTAAAAAAAATTAAAAATCAGATTTTGAAAATTTACAACGAGAGGAATTTAAAAATATATTTTTAAATTTAATTTACAATACATTAATAAATAAAATATAGTCAAAGTAGAATATGTGAATATTGTAAAAAGTCCAATGTTGCAATTAAAAGAGAACGGAGGTAGTATTAATATATTTAATTTATGCTTTACTCTAATTTTATCATGTTAAGCGTAAGGCTGGTATGTTATTGTTGTGGTTTTACTCTTAGCCTAGTATGTGCAACTCATTTTATAATTATTTACAGTATGGAAATTATTAGTTGGACTTAATTAATTAATTTGGACTAATTTGGGTTTCTGTGTTTCTGAAGCTCTGGAACAACACAGGGGAAGCAAAAGTTTGTACCATTCACTGATGACATGTTTCATTGTGCATTGTTCATATTTAAAGCCTCCTTTGCTTATAGAAACAGGTAATTTTTTCATTTTCTAATGCATTGAGTCTGTAAAATTTTAAAATAAGTATTCATGCATTTTGGAGAACTATATATTCAGTATATATAAAAAATATTCATAATCATATATATACTCCGTAACAAAAAGAAAATGCAATGATGACATTTGATGATTGTTAATTGGTACTCTATTCGTGATAAGGCTGATTTGACCAATCTTAACTTGCACGTAAAACTATGTGACTGGAATTTATATAAAGGTGAGAGAAATATTACAAACAACAAATTTATTATTTTAAAAGAAGGTTTAAATATGTTTTTAGTCCAGGGGCGGAGCCAGGGCACTGGGCCGAACTGGTCCGGTACAAAGAATATTTTTTGAAAAAAAAATCACACGGAACTTTTTACACTAAAAATTTAGACATTTTTTGAATTTGAGCTGGCCCTCCCCTAGCTACGCCCCTGGTTTTTACTCAGTGCAAATTTACATTGTATTTTTTTAGTTCATTATCAATGACAACAACCCCCGTTTAACAATGAAACAACCCCGACCCGACTAATAGCTAGGTTTCTTCTAATTTGTTGTCATGTTATTAAGAAGTATTTAATTTATTTATTTTAAAAAAAATTAATACATATTTTAAAAATGTAAATAATTAAATTTACATTGTTTTAATCCTCATATTATGCTCAAAAAATTTATACACAGATAAATTTAAATTTTTCTAGTAGATTTATGCAACGTAGCCATTAATAACTATTTTTCTAAGTAGAGTAATTTTGGAGTTAGAAATAAATTACAAACAAAATAGTGTGTACTACTATACAGGGATGATGAGAAATTGAAAAAAAATGCAGGGATCCAAAATAAATTGTGTCATAATTACAGAGACCAAAGGCATATTTAAATCTTAATATAGTGACACGATTTATGATGTTATGAGCGTGCTTATATGTGAGGAGTGATAAAAAGAAATTTGTGAGCCACATTATGTAACAATTAAGAATAAGAATTTAAGAGTGGTTTTTAGTCTTCAGAAATCATGCTTAGGTAAGTAATATGGGAAAGGTGGTGAGAATGATGGCTTAGACAAATCAGGTCTAATCTGGGACTGAAAAACTCTCTTAATATGTTGACGCCTCCTAGGTTACTACAACCGTGGTTCCGACAACATATTAAGAATCTAAATTCGTATAAATGTGAAGGAATAGCTCAAAATTTTATGCGGAGTATTTTGATTTGTATTTTCATACCACCTATGCATATGATTGGGATAACTCAATAGTGAAAGAATTTTTTTCACTTTCGATACCCGACTATTATGTCAGTCACATTTTTGGGGGATTTTTAATTTTTTTTCTTTTTTAGTTCTCGACTATTGTGCGAGAGACACTTTTAGCTATCGACTTTAAAGTTTTTCACATTTAGTCCGTGAATATTATCAAATTGATGTTTCTTGTTCTTCCACTTTGATTTTGACATAATAAGTGGAAGACTAAAAATGTCACTATTATAATAGTTGAAGGACCAAAAGTGTCACTTTTATGAAAGTCGAAGAACTTAATATGAAAATTTTCAAAGACGGGTACCAAAAATGTCTTTCACACAATAGTGGAATGTCTAAAAGTGAAGAAAAAATCAAAGTTGAGTATCAAAAGTATGAGCGATATAATAGTTGGAGGACTAAAAGTGGCAAAAGTTGTAGTGATAAATAATTTTGTTTAAATATTGTAAAAATGATATAAAATAAGTATGCATCTCCACTCTCTTTTTATTCCTTTATGCGCTTAAAAGTGGTACTGATTTAGCTATATTTGTGTTTTTTTACTTCTAGAAACATTTCTATGTATCTTTATTAGTCGATTCTTTTGCAATATTGCCTATGTGCAGAGAATTCCCAATTGGAAATGGAAAAGTTTTGCAATTCTTATACAGTAGCAAGCAGCTGAAGAGCACCAAGAGTGGGTTACCAGCTTCCCCAATATCAGCTCATGTGGTCAATAACCCACAGTACAGCCAAATGTTACAGGGAATGAAGGCTCCCAGTTGCAGCCCAAGTGAAGTGATCTACAGCCCTGATTTTCACCAGTCATTATACTGTCACCTTCTTTGCGGACTCATTTTTCGTGACCAAATCCATTTCATAACCTCTGTGTTCGCTCACGGCATTGTTCTTGCCTTTCGAACCCTCGAACAAGTGTGGGAAGAGCTGTGCACCGACATCCGGGAAGGCGTTCTTTCGAGCAGTGTCACGATCCCCTCTATTCGGGATGCCATTTCATCGAAGGTCCTCGTCGCGCCCGACCCTAAGTTGGCGGGCACGATCTATGAGAAGTGCAAGGCATTGATGGAGAATGGGTGGTATGGACTGATCCCAGAGCTGTTTCCTAATGCAAAGTACATTAGTTCAATCTTCACTGGGACCATGCAGCCTTATGTGAAGAAGTTGAGGCATTATGGAGGGGAGTTGCCTTTGATGAGCTCAGATTATGGGGCTTCTGAAGGGTGGGTTGGGTTTAATGTGCACCCTAAAGATCCACCAGAGGTTGCTACCTTTGCAGTAGCCCCAAATGTAGGGTACTTTGAATTTATTCCTTTGAAGGATGGTTTGGAGTTGGAACCTGTTGGTCTGACCCAAGTCAAAGTTGGAGATGAGTATGAAATTGTTCTCACAAATGGCACAGGTACACCGTACACCTTAAATGCTTTTACTAACTACTTAATTAAGAGTTTATGGTTTATGAAATTGATCGAATCCATTTTACACTATGGAGTGTTAATTAATTTGATAGTCGTTTGATATATAATTATATTCCTAATTCGTTAATTCGAATCTCGCAAGAATAACAATTTTATTCTCTTAAGTTGAGAAAATTCTTCAAGTATGATTAAAATATAGACAAAACGCATAATGTGATATCCATTGTTTTCTTTCTAACTAATATGAGACTCTTCACTTCTAACTAAATGAGAGAGTTTCATACTTTTAATATGATCGAATAAGTCACATTTTGAGAATAAAACATAAATATTACTTCTTGTGCATTTCATCTATGTTTTAGTCCTATTTTGAGCATTTACCTTAAAATTATATTACATACTGTATTATACATGAACTAAATATCATGGAAGAAATTGCTATAAATAAATAAGATAAGAGTAATTCACAAGAAAAGTGTTCCAATAAGAGCAGCGCATTCTTATCATCCTTATTCCATGCTAGAAGTATGATTCATTTAGTCACAACAGACTGCTAAACGTAGTCAAAACGTCTTTCGAAAGTGAAGAAGTGCTGTTTTGATGAGCAAAAACAATGTTTTTTTCGCTGGAGGAAATCCGTTATACTACGTATTTTGGAGTATTTCATTTTTGGACACTTTCTATTTATTTCTTAGAATTTTGTTAATGTTTAACTCATATTTTGAGCAACTATTTAAAGTCTTAATTAAGTATTCATGTTTTACTCCTACTATAGGTAATATCTTTTTTATTACTTCTTCCACCGTACAAATTAAAGATACATCATGTTTGACATTTTTATCAACAATGTTGAATTTTGACCAATTATATATGTATAAAAAATTACTTTTTTTTACTGAATGTATAAAAAATTAATATGTATCAATAATACGAACACGCAGTGTTTGTGGTAAAAAATACAGTCGTAAAAAAGTATAGATTTTATAAAATTCACCGAAGCATACATTCAGGGCATACTAGGCTCCGATCTATCCAAAATTTGTTCCAACCCAGCCCATTATACTCTCTTGGCTATCCGGACACAAACATTGACCAAAGTTTCAGACCAACAAATTTACGAAGAAATAAAAACTGAAATGACAAACTTGATGGCAGGGAAAGAGTATATAATGTACTGCAAGTACATCATGCATTAATTATCTAATCCTAATGCAAATATGCATGCATGCAGGAATGTATCGGTATCGCCTGGGAGATATAGTGAAGGTGAAAGGCTTCCATAACTGCACCCCACTGCTCCAATTCGTTGGCAGGAAAAGTCTTATCCTCAATATCGACATTGACAAGAACACAGAGGAAGATCTCATACTCTCTGTGGAAACAGCTGCAAAAATCTTAAGCAGCAACCCATCATCCAAGATTGAGTTACTTGACTTCACAAGCCATGTCAACACATCACCATATCCAGGCCATTACATTATCATCTGGGAATTGAGTGGGGAGGCAATTGATCATCAAGTTCTGCAAGAATGCTGCAACTGCTTGGACCTTTCTTTTGCAGATGCTGGGTATAATGTCTCTAGAAGGGTCAAGACCATTGGTCCGCTGGAGCTTCGGGTGGTGAGGAAAGGGACATTCAACAAGGTTCTGAATCACTTTGTAGGTCTGGGAGCTACTCCAAACCAGTTCAAGGCTCCAAAGTATATCCCAGAAACTAATGAGGCGGTTATTGAGATATTAAGAGACAATGTGGCTATGACTTTCTTTAGTACCGAATATCCTTGAAGTTGTAATAGCCAGTGTCCGTGCTTGACTCGAAATAAAACACAAAACATGGGAGTACTACCTTTTTGTGGGACATAAGTTTTAAAGTTTACTATTCCTATAGTCAAATGAGCATAATCTATTCTTAATACTTCTTATATACTATGATAATTGAGCATTTATAATGTTAATTCATGTTTGAAGATATCTAAACTAGTACTGATAATTTATGTATTCATAAATGACAATAAGAATAACGTTCAATTAAAACTGAATTTGAACTCATGATATAAAACTCATATAAAACAAAATACTAGAAGAAAGCTAAACTGAACGCAAACTAATAGTTCAATTGGGACGGAGAATGTATTATTCCATGGTGCTCTAGTTTATGTGCGTATAATTTGTTTAATACTGGTCTGGTTATATCTAATATCATATTATGTATAATTTGTTCTTAGTTAATGCTAGTCTGCCTAATCAAGTGGAGTCTGGTTGGGAACAGTTTGGTATGTTTCAATCCAGCCTAAGCTACTTTTTTTCAATTCTTCATAATCTGGTTTGCACGTACTCTTCAACCTCATCAATTTAGTTATTCAAAGATGAAATAGTGGTGTAGAAAAGAACACAAGATATGCATACTGCCTGTCATGATGTTGCAGTACATTGTCCCATTAACCAAACATTCCTAAAAGAATACCTTTGTAAGTTAATAAATTTAACATTATCATCCCTGACCACACATAGTAAACATGTCCATATACTAATGATAACAACTAGAGATGCACCTGAAAACAATGTAAACTATGTTGGTCCAACTTTCACATTCATGATGACTTCGGCACCAAAATTTCAGTAGGATTGAGGCATCCTCGGAGTGTGTCTTGTCCGAGTTGGGCTCTTTCATTATCACCAAAACCATAGAGTTGTCCCCGATTGGTGATTACTATGGTGTGGTACAGTGCGGTGCTAATCTGAGATACGCGGTGGGAGCGCAGGCTGTCAAGGACACACGGCCTCGCCACTTTATCAGATGCTCCTCTGTCAAGGAAACCAAGGCTACCAAAACTCATCCATCCAAAACCAAAGACACGGCCATTATCTACCACTACAAAAGTCTTTCTCTTACTTGCACAAACCTATCATGTAAACCAAAGCAATTTTAGAGTCCATTTCAAGCATCGAAATGCTACAAAAGCATAGTAGATACAAAGTTATAGAAGAAACTTGGTGAGAAGGAAAATAATGAGAAAAGTAATGTATTGGTTCAAATTCAATAATTTTATGTTTGGTATTTGTTTACTTTCATTTTTAAATTTATCTTATATATAAATACAAAGAAATCTTTCCATCATTTTCGATGGAGCCAAAGACTCACTATTTTTGGCTTGGGAATATGATGGAATAAAGCAAAATGGCTCACGAAACTGTCTGTGCTTCTTTGTGATGAAGTAACGGTCAGCCTATGCAATTTTCGACGCGATTTTCACTATGGGTCATTCAGAAATAGTCTCTCTGTGCTTTAGTAAGTACAGGGGTAACACTGCGTACATCTGACCCCCCCTTACCCCACTGTAGGTGGGAGCCTTTGCGGCACTGGGGTAATGATGATGATGATGATATAAATACAAAGAAATCTAAATGGGTAACAATTGAAAAACATTGATCATAGTTCATTTTCCTTCAGATTTCAGATTTTCGAGGTAAAACCATTTGCATCAATGCAAGAAAATATCACTTTTTGAACATTTTCTTTTCCATATCACTTTCCAGGATCCAAACATAACCTTAGGGTGGCCTAGTGATGCACAACGGGAAGGTGGAAGTTCATGCTAAATGTGGTTTGATGACAGAAATAATGAGAAGACAGCTATTGATGAGTGTAACTAAAGTGAGATATATTAAGATTTAAAAAGAAATAAGGGAAATTTAGACTTCACACACCGTGATTTGAAAACTTTTATTACTCACTCCATAACCATAAAAAATGAGATACAAGTCAAATAATGAGATCAACCATGTGGTGCAAATTCTGACATAGATCAATAACATTGGGGATCAAATGTTTAAAATCATGTGACCCAAAGCAATAATCCCAATATCTATCGAAAGATAAATCACGTAACATTTACTTTGAGAAATTACATAGCATCTCCCAAAAACTTATGGTTTCCAGATTACCAACTAAACATTCCTTTAAGAAACAGCCATCTCGGTTTTGGAAGTATGAAGCAGATAATACTGAGATGATAGAGCTTAATCTTCTAATGTAGTTGAAATTTGTATGAAAAATTAAGTAGAGTTTAATGGTTTATACTAGAGATAGTACCTTCAGTTCTCAATGAATAACCAAGCAGTATATCTGGCACATGAATGGTGCTTAGAGTTAATAAGGCCTATAAACAAGTGAAGGTGAAATAAAATTCAAAAACCTGGATGGCAAGGTGACTCTTAAGGCTGTCCACAAGTTCTGGGGTAGTCTTATCAGTCTCATTCCCATGCCCAAGTGCACCACAGTAACCTTTTCCCCAGGTGTAAACCTGCAGTGACCAATCAAATCAGAGACCGTACGGGTTAGATAAGGGAAGTGATTCTTGGTGTTTTGAATGTGGTGGCTGATGCTACTAGAGGTGGATGTTGATAGGGAGTAAAGAGGCAAGGGGACAAATAATCTAGAAAGACGACATTTATAAAACAAACATCAAATCTCTCAATGCTTCCTATGCTAAAGGAAGCCAGTATTTATAACCTATGAAATATTTAAGGCAGATATAATTAACAATCAATTACTCATGATACATTTCTATCATGATCTATTGCTAGAATCTTTCATATAGGCAAATCTGATTTACTACGATGGTTTGATTAATTCTCTGAGATGTAGAAGAGAATAATGCGAACAGAACACAAAGAGCTATTTTAGAGTGAAACACTTCTCTCAAAAAACTTTAGATCGTATTAGCTCTAGCAATTTAGGTTGATTTACAAATGTTCCCAAGCAGGGCCCTGTTTATAGGTTTAGGATGAGCTCTCTATATCCTCGTGACATCATAGGAACCTAGAGCTCTCTTGAATTATTTACATCTAGATTCTACATAGAATTCTCCCATCTTGAAATCACTAGAATACACGTAGCTTCCCTTTGGTAATTTCTCACGCTTTCAGTGGTAAGTGCAGTTTTTTTATGGATATGCCTTGCCAAGACATTGGTGCAACACTAAGGCGACACTCGATAGCCCAAAACACCCAGAAAACAAACAGCCTTAACGGGCTTTCCCCTTCAAACCTAGAGTTGATATTGTTTAGACCAATGGCTCACATATCATATACTAAACCGATAAGAACAGATAAAGGCCATGGGGAAACAGAAATCCAATCCTTCTATGATGATTACTCACATATCCATTTGAATCGAGTGCTACAACATGTTCATCACCAGCAGACACACGAAGAAGATGAATGCCCTTCCTCTTGAATGACTGGATTGCCCTTGGGTGGAATTCATTGAGCTGCTCCCCATGGCCAAGGCAGAAATTGGAGCCCGATCCAAAAGTGTAAAGTGACCCATCCAAAGCCACAGCAAGGGCGTAGCTTGGTCCGGCAGCAATTTGAACAACGGTGCAAAGGAATGCAAGCAGTTCTACACATGTAGGTGTTGGCCTATCCATTGTGTCACCATGACCAAGCTGACCATGAACGTTGGATCCACATGTGTAGACGCGTCCGTCTCTTGTAAGAAACATGGTGAAAGTAAGACCAGCTGCAACCTGAACCAGTTTCAACAAATTTTGAGCCACATATAGCAGAACCTGGACTGGTATGCGAAACAGATATTAATTGCAATTCTATCTATATTGATGAATAAAAAATAAACTCATCCTGATCCAACATTTATAGAAAATTTGAATTACAAGATTATTTTTTAGTTCATTTCAAAAAAAATCAAGCCATATGATTTAAGCAGCAACTTAGGGAAATCCCATTATGAGTATATGTACCTGTTTGCAGGGGATGTGCTTCAGTGACTCTACAAGCTGGGGCCTGAAAATAGTGCGACTTCTGTGCCCGCAACAATAGGACGAGTTATCTCCACAAGTGAATACCTATATAGAACTGGTTAAGATTTATATCTAAATAATGGCATGTCTAGTTGGACCTAACTCGTGCCAAAAGATCCTAAAGACGTGAGGTTTGTCTCAAACTTATGTACTAAACACAATTAAGATAAATCGTTCGATGTAAGACTCTTAACGCAACCACTAGGCCAAAAACAAGCTATACAACTTGAGAGGATGGGTAAAATGTGCCAAACAGACCTCGAACTGAGTTAGGCTAAAAAATTGGGAGTCAAGCATACAGACAAACCACAATTGGGTCATATCATATTAAATTGGAGCTATCTCACACTAAAAACGATCGTCGAAAAGTGAGGTTTACCTCAAACATATATAAGACACAAATCTGGTAAACAAACTTATAAAAAAACTTTTAGCATCATGGTTGAGCCTATCACAGAAGTACAAAATGTTTGTTCAGCTACTATGATCAGACATTCAGAAGTATACACATAGTCACAAATCTTACGGTTTACGAAACAAATAAAAAGAGAATAATATGACCGACACCATGTCAAATGAAGAGAGAAAATGGCACACTCTCCATACACAAAACACTCAATGCAGGTCTAAATAGGATCATGATGTAGGCCTTTGATGACTATGAGCATGAACACACCAAGTATTAAGAGCTTATACATCTATCAGCAAGAAATCCATTGACAGTACTAACCTCCCCAGACTGGGTCACAAAAGCAGCATGATTGTGGGAAGCTGAAACCTGGATGACTTGTACAGGAAAAGCGAAGCTGATGCGTGTAAATTCTACACACTGTGTTTTTTGAGGCCCATGACCAAGGACACCACACAAACTAGACCCACAAGAGTATACTGCCCCGTCACTAACCAGCAAAGTGTGATATCTTCCACTTTTAATTTGCATCTGTCAATGACATGTAGTAATTACAAAGACTCAGAGTTTGGAGTTCCTCTTAAAAGGTAGTTCAACACTTTATGTGTGAGCTTCTATCATTATATTTGAACAATGTGGATGACTTAGTGCACAATATGGTGGCTCATTGTGGTAGATCATTCTTAAACTAGAGTGCACTTTAGAAGTCTTAACAGATTAGTCCAGTCGTTTGAGATTAATTGATTCAAATATCATACTCGCTCCTAATTTTTTACTTACAACGTTTTCTTTTTCCAGAAATATTTTATTACTTGCAATACTTTCTTATTTTGGTAAGTTTTTCATCTACATATACATAAGTACTACTACTTCTTCTACTTAATCATACAGGCTCATCTCTCCTTCCATCTTTTACCACTTTTCCGACACTATTAACTACTTCTATTATTTCACTCTTAAACTATAAAATCCTACAAAAATCCTATAGTTGCAACTTGCAAGTAAATAAATTCCTACAATTTCACTTTTAAAACCCACAAAAACCTACAGTTTCAAGTAAATAATTATGGAGGGAGTATTAAACTCAAGGTCAATTCTTAAAATGTCAACTTTTATCAGTGGTCTAAGACCTTAAATATGTTAGTCTATAATCATCCAAAATTCCAAACCGGAAAATAAGAATTACAAGCAAGAAATAGTTAAACCTCAACATAAATAAGAAAAAAATCCACTTCTGGTTCTGGTTATACAAATATTGTACCGATCCCACATTAGATCCTTGTTTTACTTTGGTCATATTTGCTACATGACTATTGCTCTTCGCCAGCTGTTGATCATTCCGAGATACTGTGGGAATATATTCTACAAACAATTTATAACCCAAAGCAGACTTGATGAATTAAAAGATGCGGCTTGCATGAAATAGTACATTGCCTGCGGAGGTTTCAACCATGTCAGATGATTGCTCCACAGATTGCAAGAAGCCCAGTAACCGTTTCCAATTTCCACTACACCGATCCAGAAGATCTTCCCTAGCATAGGCCGGAAGAGAGGTATAGATGATGTTCGAGCCACATAGCTGAATAGCAGCACAATCTACAACCGACATCATGTTTTTAGGGAACATCCCATGACTTGGCCTGAAAGCCCTCGAACTCATTTCCAAAGACACTAAATCGATCGCATTCAATCGACCCAACGTCAAGATTTGAAGAACCAAATGCTCCGGCAAGTCTTCAATTTGGTGAGCTGAGCTCAATAAATTGTCCTCCATTTCTATTCACAAAATCAAAATCCCAAAATTGAACTAAATTAAAATAACATGAGAATTTCCAGAAGTGGAAGAAAGCGCGTCAGCCCGAAAAAAACTGTCAACTTCTTAAACGAGAACAGAGACGACAGAGAAGAGTTTACGAATAAAACATCAGATTTAACGAAATTCGATTAAATTAAATATGAAAACCTCGGGGCTCTTAAGCCGTGTTGGTCATTGCTTAATTTAAACAAAAGTAGTGTTTGCAAATGAAAAATTCTACTTAATTTAAGCCAAAAGTTGAAAACTGGGTTGGGGATGGTTTACGTGGACCGTAATTCCTCCCAGACCAGATCAGACTTGGATAGTTATAAAAATACAAAGAAACCAGACCAGACCAGCAAATTACAGTCTAAGTAAAAACATCTTTAATATGCTTTTAAGCTTTTTGGTAAATAAGCCTAATTCTAAGGTCAGTTCAATTCCTAAACAAATTCGTTTATTCTCAAAGTTACCATTCGTCCTCACATCCTTCGTACCAGAACGGTTTCCAACATAAAAGTTACCATTCGTCCTCACATCCTTCCACTTTGATCAATCATCAGTATAATCTAGGATCACTAGTGGCCAAACTGTTCCGCCTCCGCTCTATTCTGGCAGTGATGAAGACAAATGTGTAGCATGTGTCGTGCGGTGTCGCCGCCAGTGGCCAAGCAGTACAGTACACAGATTCGATAGAGAGCTCCATAATTTGATTTGGAATTGAAGAGAGCTAAAAGTTTTTCCTAAACTAATGCTGGGTGTGTTTCAAAAAACAAAGAAAATAATTAATAAAAATTAATTAATTAAATGAGTAAAGAAAAACAGAAAATAGATGGAACAGAAATAGTCAGAGCTCGTGCTATGCACGATGTCTTTAAAACATATATGTTGTCTCTCATGGTGCTAGGAGTTGCAATAACCGTTTCCAGGGATACGGTGGCTAACGAACTGACGTTTGAGCACACAAATGAAAGTTCCGACGAACGGGAACAAAGGTCGAACACCAAGGAAATTTTCGGAGTAACTGGAAGTGTTTTTAGAGCTAAAAACTACGCACATATTGCTTGTGAACGTGTGTTTGTTGCAAAGCAACTGCCAGGTATTTATAGGAGGATTTGTGGTGTGTTAACCGAGCTTTAATGAACCTGAACGTTGCACATAAATGTCCAGCACGTTGGGCATTAATATGACAAAAAACTGTCCATTTAAAGAAGCATTAAAAGATAAGAACGTTGGGCATTATCTTTCGTAACGGCTGAGAACTGCGCTTAGGTATTCTGATCCGGAAGCCAACATAATACCTCTAAGGTCTTCCGGCACGGACAGAATACCTTGTGCCTTTCTGTTGCGAACAGAAGCGGAGCGGTTCTGCCAGTCTTGAAAAAATTACGGAACGTTACGGGAAGAAACAAAAATTAAATTGTATCTTTGAATGATAGATTTTGGGATGACATTCGTGTCCGCAGGTCGCCCGCGCACACAAGTCGCGGTCTTTCTTCTCTGTTTTCGGGATTTGCAGACAACATTCGTGTCCGCAAGTCGCCCGCGCACACAAGTCGCGGTTTTTCTTTCCATTTTCGGGATTTGATCGACACCCCCCTTGCGCGCGAAGAGAGCCTTTCCCCGTAGGAATCTTAGGCCCTGTTTGGTTGGAGGGTTTCGGAGGGGAGGGGAGGAAAGTGGGGGATTTGTGTGTGTTTCGTTGAAGGAAATAGGGGGGAAGGGGAGGAAAGTAAAAGACTTTCAAAATCCTCCACTTCCTCCCATTCTAAACCCCCCAAATCGGGGTATTTCGGAGGAAACGTGTTGATAATCACAAACTATCCATCTCCTACGTGAATGAACAAAACGTTATAACATAAAAAGGTAAAAAAACAAAAAGTTTTGAAAAATTAAAATTTAAAAATTTAAAGTTTAAAGATCAAAAAAATTTAAAATTAAAAAATTAAAAATTTTAAAAATTAAAAAAATTACAAATTAAAAATTAAAAATTTTAAAAATTAAAAATAAAAAAATAAAAAATAAAAATTACTCCGTAAAAATTAAAAATTCCAAACTGAAAAATGAAAAATTATAAAATTAAAAAAGTAAAAAATCAAATAAAAAAAATTATGACTCATGACCATAGGAGTAATATTCACAATAGTTAGACATGTATCTATTTTTTTAAGTAAGCTATCAAATAAAAGTAAACTGTGAAAATATTTTCATTAAACCTTTCCTCCTATTTCCTTCAACCAAACACAAATTTTTATCAAAATCCTTCCTTCCCCTTCCCTTCCCTTCCCTTCCCTCCTTGACTCTACCCTTCCATCCCCTCCTTTGAACCAAACAAGGCCTTAACTCTTTCAAAGAGGGATCCCTTCATAAGGGGATGAAAATCTCTTAGGTTTTCCGGAATTGGATAAATCTCACTCGAAACTCATCATTTTCTCAGTTTTTCCATTTTAACGAGTGAACTTCGAGAATCAATTTCTCATTCACCCGTTATCCGTTTTGAGTGTACTATATATCAAATTGTAGCCCTTAACAAGGACAATCCGAAACCACTTTGCACGATCCAAATCGGAAGTGGACCCCACTCAAAAAATGCCCCAAAATGTCCATTTAATGCAGTTTATTAACACAATTTCCAACAACTAAGAGTCAATGCTTGAACTTTTATACCACAATTTATTACCCGATATGATATACAACATGACATGCTTGAACTTTTTTGCAGAGTCAATGCTTTAGAAGGAGGATGAGAAGAAGAACCAAACATCGGGTTATTGAAAAGGTCAGTATTTGAGTTGTGTGCGTTATATAGTTCATCTCAGTTCTTAGTTCTTAAATGTTATAATTTTTTGATGAAAGGTTGTAGAAGAAACTTGTCCTAGTGAATATGTTAACATGGCAAAAAGCCAGAAGAAGGCTTCTCTTGACCACTCATCTTATGCAGCAATTGTTTCACCCTCCACCAGCATCAATTCCTTAAGTAGATTCCAAACTGGAGTTCCAGATTGTGGCCTACATGGTTTCTAAAATGATATTAGGCATTGCATGTGGACTGATTTCTATCTTTATTGGGCATAATACTAGTATGGCTAAGGCTGATGGTGGTGACAGAGAGCCGTAATTTTCTTGGGTTTATGATGAGTTTTTTTATAAATCATGTCTTGGTTGGGTTATTTATGTTTTTCAAATAATATTTCTTATTTTTTTGCAGGGTCTGCCATGGTTGTGAAACATGAAGGCAATAGTGTTGGAAAAATGTGTTAAAATTTGCATTAAATGGTCATTTTGGGGCATTTATTTGAGTGGGGTCCACTTCCGATTTGGGTCGGGTCAAATTGGTTTCGGATTGTCCTTGTTAAGAGCTACAATTCGATATATGGTACGCTCAAAACGGATAACGGGTGAATGAGAAATTGATTCTCGAAGTTCATTCGTTGAAATGGAAAAACTGGGAAAATGATGGGTTTCTAGTGTGTTTTATACCACACCGGAAAATTCAAGGGATTTTCACCCCCTTATAAAGGGAAGCCTCTTTTAAGGAGTTAAAATTCCTAAAGGTAAAGGCCCTCTCTTACGCGCAGGGGGTGCCGATCAAATCCCGAAACGGAGAAGAAAAATCGTGACTCGTGTGCGCGGGCGACCTGCGAACACGAATACCGTTCGAAAAATCTATCATTCAAAGATACAATTTAACTTTTGTTTCTTCTCATAACGTTCCTTAATTTTTTTCAACATATTAATGTCCAACGTGCTGGACATTTATGTGCAACGTTCAGGTCCATTAAAGCTCGATTAACACACCACAAATCCTCCTATAAATGGCTGGCAGGTGGTTTGCAACAACACAACACACAATACATTCCTCACGTATTTGTGAGCTCTAAAACACTTCCAGCTACTCAGAAAATTCCTAAGTGTTCATACTGTGTTCCAGTTCGCCGGAACTCTCATTTGTGTGCTCAAACGTTAGTTCGTTAGCCACCATATCCTGGGAAACGGTCGTTGCAACGCTCCTAGCACCGTGGGAGGCGACGAATACGTTTTAAGGACATCGTGCGTAGCACGAGTTCTGGCTAAACTCTGTTCCATCTATTTTCTGTTTTCTTTTAGCTATTTTATTTATTAATTAATTTTATTTAATTAATATTTCTTCATTTTTCCGAGACACACCCTACAATAGTAATAAGCATTTATAAACAAATTGTGAAAGAATGAGACTATTACTGCACATTTTTCTTTATGTTTATCCTACTGTATATTTGACAGTGGACAACCAAGATATGTTAAATTTGAGGGTGGATAACGTTGATTATCGGGAACTTATCCAGATCTTGGTTGTCCGCTATCAAATTTAACAATTCTCCACCCTGAGAGCGGCAAAAAGTTCCACACCCGAGCCCCACCCAATGCCTCATCTTCTCTTTAGGTATTTTACTACATTTTGGGCTAAAGATTATAGAAGAAAGTGAAGGCTAAAATATGAGAAAATGCAGTGGAAAATGCAGTGTTGTTATGACTTTTCTCTCTTCATTTGTAATCATTCAAGTCTAATGTCATGACAAGAAGTGAAAATATGATTCTTTTCTCTCTTGGTCCATGTTATTATGGAGTTTTTGTATTCATTTCTATTTTTGAGAAGTGATTTATTTGAAACAATATATGAAAAGTGATTAATGGTAAAAATTGAAAGTGTTTGAAAAGAAAAATGATTTTGAAAATGTAAATGTTAAAGTGTTGGATGAAAAGTACTTTTTGTGAAAAAGAAAAAAAATGAAAAGAAATTAAAGTGTTTTTAGTTTTGAACCCCTTAGTTTTTAGTTTCCAACTGCTTCACTTTAAACAGAAACTCTTTGAAAAAAATGCACTATTATTATCTCTTTAAAGAAAAAAAACTAAAAAAATGTCTTCTTTTAATTATACCTCATCAACGCATGGTTTTATTTGCCCAAATTTTGTATTCCTTCTTCTAACCAATTTGTTACATGATACTCTCACAAATTCTTTGTTTTGGAGTATCAGTCGGTAACCCATGCATGCCTGTAAATTTCAAGTTACAACACAAATTTGTAAACTTTTTTAATGTTATCCCAATTTTAAAGATTGTGTTTCAACATATTTCATAGCTACACGGCCTACACCTATTTATATGGAAGTTTCTAACAATTAAACATGATTGTTAGAAAAACACAATAAAATTAACATAGATTGAAAATATCTGTAAAA